TATTCAGAGAGAGGTGCTAAAGTCTCCAAGTATAACTGTGAATTTGTCTATTTCTCCTTTCAGTTCTATCAGAGTTTGCTTTATTTATTTGTAACTCAGTTGTTTGGGACATACACATTTAAGACTGCTATGTTTTCTCTGTGGATTAACACTTTAATCATTATTAATGTTTCTCTTTGTCTCTCATAGTATTTTCAAAATTTTATTTCAGTAGATTTAGGGGGTACATGTGGTTTTTTGGTAACCGGAAGAAATGGGCAAAGGAAAAAGCCCAGCCTTTAAGGGAATTGGCAAGGCAAAACCAACAAAAAAATTTTTGCCCCAAAAAGTACACTATATCACACAATAATAGACACATGCGCGCTCTCTGAGAAAAAAGAGCACAACATCTATTCTATACTCCTACACCAAAACTCCACACTGGTGATATACAAAAAGAGAACATAGAGAGAACATAGAGAAGACACATTTTCCACACACACACATGTGTCCTAAAAGAGATGTTTAGAGAAAATTCACAGAAAACAAAAATAAGAATATGGAAAAGCGTGTATCCCACATAGCACATTGTATTCTCTGTGTGTCCCCTCCGGTTTCTTCTCTGCTTTCTTTTCCTATTTTTCTATGGGTTACTTAAACACTTACTAGAATTCCATCTTTTTATCTATCATGTTTTTGAGTGTATCTCATTGTACAGTTTTTGTGATTTATCTAAGTATTTTTTATCATAATAAATATTATGAACAACTTTATAAAAATAAATTTGTATGTAATGAGTAAATTACTCAAAATGTACAATATACTAAGCTGACAAATAACATAAAATATGAAGAGTTCCACATAAGAACATTCTGTAAAACTTTCCCACAACAAAACCTCAGATTCATCTCACTTCAGCAATTATTTTAAAATATTTAAGGAAGAAACAACACTAATTTTATGCAAACTTCAAAATAAACAAATAAATAAAGAGAAAACACTTTTTATGAGGCCAGTATAATCTTTACTTCAAAACCTGACAAGAACTCTAAAACTAAAATAATTTTATAGACTGATCACTCTTATGAACATAGATGCCAAATTCTTAAGAAAATATTAGCAAATTAAATTCAGCAATACATAAAAAAGATACTACATCATGATTAAATGGAATTTATTCCAGGAACACAAAGTTGTTTAAAAATAAGAATGAATTAATGTAATTCACTGTGTTAACTGAAGGGAAGAGAAAAGGAATATGACCACCTTGATAGAATCATAAAATATCATTTGACAAAAGTCAGCACTTAGCCTTAATTTTTACAAAATAATCTATTGGCAAACTTGTATTAAAAAGGAATTTCCAGCCTGGAGACCAGTGGGAAGGGTAGGTGGATATCCCGTTTCCCCTCCCCTGCATTTGGGACTGCTTGTGAGCTCCCTAGCGGGTGGAGAGACCTGCGGACACCAGCCCAGAGACGGCCACCGCCAGCCAGCGGTGAGCCTATAGCGGACCCGGCATCAGACTCCCAAATCCCTCGGGGCACCTCCGTGTGCACAGACCCGAGCCACGCGGCAGGTGCCATATTGCCTCCTTCTCCCCTCCGCCGACCCTACCCTCGGCTGCCCAGAGAGACAATATAGCCACCAGCCAGAGGCAACTCAAAGCAATGGGACCTTCCCTTTTGGGACTCTACAGCTGACTAAGGGGAACTTAGACTGTGAGCTCCCTACCTGCCACCCCTCCCAGGTGATGCTGGCAGGATGTTCGCAGGAGAACGGTGCAGACTCAGAGGCTGAGAGACATAGACCCAGCTTGGGCTCCCTGTGGGTGAATTGGGACTGGAATTCCTCTCCCTGGTGGGGATACAGTTTGAACTCTGGGCCCCAGAGGTCAGACCTGTAGACCAGATCCCGTGCACCGAGGCCTAGCATTGCCCGGGGCAAAGAAGGGATATACGTGAACAGCCTACTGAGGTGTGTGTGCCTTTAGGGGCAGATCAGCATCTTAGAGGGCAACCCTCCTGCCAAAAGGAGGCCGTGCCCTCAGCCCAGGTGGTGTTCCTGTGCAGGGAACCTCTGCACCGGCATCACAATCCCGGGAGGCCTGGTGGCGTGTGGTCTGGACTGCTGGCAGAGCCCCAGGAGTAGCTGCAGAGTTGGGGAGGGGGGAAAGAAGCCAGGCCCACTCCAGACTGCGGGTCTCAGACAGCCCCACCCCCACACCCAGACTTTCTGGCTGAGCAGGGCCATTCCAGCCCCGCCCCGACAGCTTTTCCTAGAAGCAGAGAACAGAACTTTGACCCCTGCTAACGGCATCGGTGGTGCCTAAGGGCAGGCTTACCCAACCCAGCTCTGCCCAGAACAAGAGCTGATAACAGGACACAAAAACAACAGCATAGCCTGTTCCTCCAAGCAAGTGCCACCTACTGACAGGGACGGCATCCTGCACAGCCTTTTCATGGCACCTACTGACTCATTATACAGGGAGTGGTCAAATCTCACCCACAGACACCACCTACCAGCTCAGAAACTAAACAAAGTGTGTGAATACCCAAACAAAAACCTAAAGGAAAGAAACAACAACTGACAGACATGAAAAGAAATCAGTGAAGGAACTCAGGAATTATGAAGAACCAAACAGAAAACACACTCCCAAAGAGGAGCACCAACCCCCTAGAAACAGACACCAACCAAAATCAGGCAACCAAAATGATAGAAGAGGAATTTCGTATGTGGATCATAAGAACACTCACCGACCTGCAACAACAATTCAATAACCAACACAAAGAAACCACAAAAAGCCTCCAGGACCCAGAACAAAAGTTCACTAAAGAAATAGACACAATGAAGAAAAGTTTAACCGAACTCATGGAAATGAAGAATCAATTCATGGAACTACAAAATACAGTGGAAAGTCTCAAGAACAGGGTAGATCAAACAGAAGAAAGAATCTCAGAGATTGAAGATAACACCCTCCAATTAAATAAAACAGCCACAAAGATAAAGCAGACAAACAAGAGAAAAGAGCAAAGCCTACAAGAGATGTGGGATTATGTGAAGAAACCTAATCTTAGGGTCATAGGGTTACCAGAAGAGGAAGAAGACAACACTCAAGGGTTGGACAAGCTGTTTGAAGATATAATAGAGGAAAATTTCCCAGGCTTTGCTCAAAATCTCGATATACAAATTCAAGAACCTCAGAGGACCCCTGGGAGATTCATTGCAAACAGGAAGACGTCACGACATGCAGTCATCAAACTGACCAAAATATCAACTAAAGAGGCCCTTCTAAGAGCTGTAAGAAGAAAGAAGCAAGTGACATACATGGAAAGCCAATTCGAATAACAACAGAGACTTTACAAGCAAGGAGAGACTGGGGCCCCATTCTCACTCTTCTGAAACAAAAAATTTCCCAGACTAGAATCTTATTCCCTGCAAAACTAAACTTTATATATGAAAAAGAAATAAAGACATTTTCAGACAAGCAAAGTCTCAGAGAATTCAACATGACAAGACCAGCCCTACAAGAAGTACTCAAAACAGTGTTACGCACGTTTTTGTTGCCGTAGAATTGCTTTTGATATTCGGGGTCCTTCATTGGTTCATACGAAGTGTAAAAACCTAACTTTTTTATATCTGTGTAAAAAAGTGCTGATGGGATTTTGAATACGTACTTGCATGGGAATCTGTGATCAGGTTTTGGTAGTATGACATGTTTTAATGATGTTTGCGAGTCTGCGGATCCACGAGCGATGTATGGATTCTCCATCTGTTTGACATCTCGCTGCTATTTCCGTCCTCAGGTTTCATATGTGCGTCTCCGCGTGTAGAGGTCTTTTACGTCCTTGGTTAAGTATATCCTTAGGTCACTTTAATTTCTGTGTTATGTGTGAAGGGAATTGTGTCTTTGATTGGTTCCAATTAGAGTTGTTAGGGCCGAGTATTGAATTGCCCTCTGATTCCTGTGTAATTGTTTTGTATCCTGTCTAAATTCATTGATCAGTTCCAGGAGTCTTGGTTGATCTTTTGGGGTTTTGGATCGAATTCAATCATCAGCAACAGGGAAAGTTTGATCTCTTCTGTTTGGTGTTTCCTTCTGTT